GAAATACAACGCATTCTGGATATTCAGCTTTCCTAATCGTTTTAGTCATACATACAGTTGTATGCAAACATTTGGGCGCCCCTGGTCAAATCACATTTTGTTGATTTATGTGAAAAAAAGTAAATACATCCTCTACAGAGAAGACACTTCTACAGATTTAAATGCACAATCACTATTTATTTGTTCAATTTAATATACTGAGGGAGAAAAAATCTCTTATTATATATAAACTATAATATAAAACTAAAAATGTGATCTGTGCAAAACTTGGCATTTTTTTATATTTTACATTTTTCCCCAACTAGGTAAATTCAGCAAATAAACAGAAATTGTGCACTACAAACTGCAGAAAATGCCATATTTAAGTTTCTTCAGATTTGACTGCATATACTGCAGAACTTTAAATGTCCAATATATTATACAACCAAGATTTTACTAGTACTACAAACTACTATTTTTATTACTAATATTTTTTATTATTATTGTTATTAACTGTTTTTACTTTTTAAGCATTTTTTAAATCAATCACTTTAAATATACGGTCGAGATTATAAAGAGTAATTGGTGAAAATTAAATCTAAAATATTTATTTTTATCCAAAAACATATTTACATATTTATTATATTTAAAAGTTATTTTTAGCATAATAAATAAATAAATACCTATGCTAAGCCTTTATATATTTAATATATCGTATGAGCAACATTATACTTGCTACTAATTGGCTAATTTTGAAACAAAAATAACATTTTTAGTCTTTTCATTTTTCACACATTTTTTCACTCCCTCACAGATTACATGGCCAGGTAGAGACTGGTTTTGAAAAAGAAATAAAACTGAGTTTTAGTAATTTTAGAACAAATCATGTTGGCTCTAAAGCGCTGCAGTCCTGATGCACTTTAAAAGACTAACAAACATTTCTAAATAAACTGATATCAGTATTGTTAGCACCAAGTACTATAATAAAACCATTGACTCTATATTATAGATCAGATGCATCAATATTTAAAATGGAGCTTGATCCATCACAACAATATAAACAAACATTTTACGCATGTTTAACCTCTACAAAAATTCTTGGAAACAAATCCCGGTAGTCACTCATTAAATGCTAAACATATGTTTGGTCTGCATACAGTTAACAAGCTGATGATACAGAAAGGTTTACCAACCTGTGACCAGGCTGACTATATATATCTGTATTAATAAAAACACTAACAAAAAACAGTGGAGGCTCACGTGAGGCATGTTAGCTTTACTGTAAATGGGTCTTAGTCACAGACCTTTCTTGTTATGGCTCATTCGCTACTGTAGCAGGTCTGACCAGTCCTTTCACTCTCTTCTGCAGTTCCACTCACGCATAAAGGGTTAAAAACGGTAAGGAAAACAAGGCAATTCACAACAACAGAGCTATAATAACAGAGCACGTGTGAACCTGCTCTGCTGTTGAAAACAACCTGTTATCTGGACTCTTCTCGTGTGTCAATATGTGTTGTTTATAGACAGCAAGTGTTATGAGTGGAATATGTGACACAGTGTTAATAGGTTATGCATTTGTCAGTCAGACTACTGACACTAAGAGAGAGACTAAGCCTCCTTAAAAACAATCTTTTAACATGGCTCACTTGATCACTTGGAAACAGAAGAGGAAAATGTGAAGAAACAGAGCAGTCATAATCAAAAGAAGGAGAAAAACAAACGCTTGGAAACTTTTTTTTTTAAACTACGAAACTTTATAGGTCATGTAAATATATATTCTACTGAATTAGTTCAAACTGCTGTCCCACAGCCAAAAAACTACTTAAAAATAATGAAGTGTTCATATCTTAGACATTTACAAGGATTATGATCTATTTAAACCCAAAGCATTAACTGAGATAGGAATACGCTATACATACACAAAATCATCGTTTATACAGTATTTTCTTTGGGTGGTGTCTGTCCCAAACCCTAACTCCTAAATTTCAACTTGTGAAAATAATACTTACAGCTTTATTTTTAGTGTTTCGTTTTCAGATGCTAAGCACCTCATGTTAAATTTCCTTCGGGATAAATAAAGTCTATCTATCCATCCATCCATCTATCTATCAACCTGGCTTGTAACTTTCTTGCTCACTCACTCACTCGCTCATCTTAACAAAACTGTCCACAAGGGGGGGCAACTGGCACTCTTATAACTACAGTGAGCACGACCTTAGCTGAAATGGCTAAGACTATTGAGCCCTGAGGATATGTGAGAAGTGCATGCTTTCTAGGACTTCTGGGTTACTACATACTGGCACTTCACATCAGTGACACTTCTTGTTTTTTTAAAAGATCTTTTTGACTTCTTTTAAATTAAAGTTGATGAAGGATTTAGATTTACAATGAGTTCATTTATAAACAAAAACTATGTCCCACGTTTTCATGTCACTACTAAAACCCAAAAAGTTTTAGTCCTTGGGCGGAGTCTTATTTCAGCCACACCCCTGCATTTTAAAACAGGAAATGAGACTGCATCCCTGTCCCTCATACTCACGGCCAGATGGTAAACAATTAGATCCCATCGTTTTTAAGTAAATTTGTCCCAAAGCATTAAAAAATTAAATAAATAAATAAAAAAAATTAGTGAGTAATCTTATAAATTGTCAATAACGAGACACATTTTCGGTAAAATTTTGTGTTCTAATAAAAAATAAAGATTCTATGTGTATAGAATCCGCTAAAGCAGTTATTATTAAATTTATTTTTAAACAAGTTCCTTATAAATCTATATTAATTAATTAATTAATAATATAAAGGTCTTTCAGTTTGAATTTATTGTGGGCTACAATTTTTTGTGTGTTTCAAAAGTTTTTGAATACTAAATAGAGAAACGCACACCAATGTAACAAAAGAATACTTGAGTATAGGGCTGGGCGATAAAACGATAACGATAAGTATCGCGATATAACTTCTCCTCGATAGACCGATAAGACAGGTTCGATAAATGTTCGATATAATACACCACTCTCACACTTCCATGATTTAGCGAAAGCCCTGGTGGCGCTTTCTACTGCAAGGAAAGCGACACTACTCTGCTGTCGCCAGGAGAGGGCGCACTTCCGAATTTTTCAACTTGATTAGAGAGGGAGGGGGCCACGAGTAAAAAAAGGGTCGCCAAATATTCTTTAGCAACGGCTGAAACGCGGAGTTGTACAGTCCCTGTCTGAGTGGATGTTATAGGCGATCTGTTCTCCTGTGACCGAGTGTGAGTGACGAGGTCAGTGGTGTATCTGTACTGTACTACAGCGAACTCACCTCTTTCCGTGCATCCTAACAACTTTAGCGGTGTTAAATCACGTCTGCAGCGCCGTGTTACAGCGGCAAACCGTCATATTTTAGTATTAGTGCGTTCTCGAGCAACGAAAGAGAAAGAAAGAAGTGGTTCACGTTCGAAAGTAAACTGAGGAAGCTGTGAGGCGTTGGAGAGCGGGAGAGCGCTGTCTTTCCAGGCTAGCTGTTTTTAGCTGCTGGCTAACTTGAAGCAGCGCTCCGGCAAAACACGGTGAACTGATGATACGGTAGATCAAACAAGACACAAAATCACCGCTTTCAGTTTAAACATACCTAAAAGGAGGACTCTGTTTGACTGGTGTGAGAGATTCACACTGCAGATAATGCTTTTACACAGCGAACGTCAGATATACTGCGGTTCACCCCTTAAACTACTACGATAGCATAGAGAAACCCAGTCGTCTAGCTGCTGTCTGAATACTGTGATACGCTCTGACATGGACGTGGTCGGAGTGACCGCAGTGACCTCCCGAACCGAGCTGACGTTGTTGAGAAACTAAAGAGTTTAGCACTGTTGTTGGCCACTTGTTTAGCATTTGCAACGGGGTAGCCGAGCGCTCGTCACCAGACAGCTAAAAATAATCTGTTTTCTTTCTTAAATCATGACTATTACAAAAATTGCAGCTGTGCATTTCAAGCTGATAAAAACAGCTCAGAAACCTTCTCCCACTGTCCCAAGACAGATTAGTGAAATGTTCCACTGTTTGCTGAGTGTTTGTCATGATCGGACCGTAAGTGATAGTTTAAAACCACAGTTAACCACCCAGGAGCAAAATCAGCCTTCAAACGTGAAAGAAATCATGATTTGACATTTATCGCGATATGTATCGATATCGAACGATATGAATTTTGTTTATCGTGATAATGTTTTTGGCCATATCGCCCAGCTCTACTTCAGTATTGGAATTATTATAGTTATTATGCATATTTATACATTTAATTCATTCCTTAGGTGTCTACATTTCTTTTTCTAATAGTTTTTCGGTATCATTGAAAGACTCGCTTATCGCTTAATCGTTTTTACTTGTTTGGCCTTTATTTAAAAACCTTGATTGGGACAAAAATAATCAGTAGCTTCTTTGATTACTACTAGAATTAAAAGGAACAACCCTAATAATGAGAACTTTTAATTATTTATTTACTCCTTTTTTCTTAAAATGCCATCTCCAGTTTCTTCTGCAGGAGGAGAAACGGAGCAAAGTGGGGCTCCGCTGCGCTAGGCGCTAATCCTGGGATTAGCCATGGAAATTCCATACTGCAGACACACAAAGGCCCGCCCAAATGTCACTCAACTGGCTGGACCAGTTAGAGAGCGGTCATGCCCCGCAGAGCCCGCCCAGGATGGGCACGTTCAATAGTTGCCATGGTAACTGAGCTGAGGCATAGGTTAAAGAGAAGGACAGCCGTGAAAGGTTGCGAGCACGGAGAAAGTTAAACGTGGCCACTCTCAGTCGCTCACGTGCAAAGCCTTCTGGGAGAAGGACAAGGAGATGGTTTCAATAATGCACAAAAACCCACCATAACAGGACAAGATGAGCACTTTTAGAGCTGAAGTGAAGCAAGTATGTTTCCAAAGACAGCTGTTTTCCAGCTAACTCATTTTTTGGATGCCAAAACCATTAAACTGAGTGCTGAGTCAGTCCCTCTTGTTCTCAGAGTGGATTGCTGGAAGGTGAAGGACTCACCGGTCTATACTGGAGGTCATTTTGTAGCGTGTTCAGGGCTGCAGTGGGAGAGAGAGGAGCTTTAAGCGTGAGGTAGACATTTGTACATAAACCTGCGTGAGAGAAAAACACAACAACAAGCAAAAGTGAAATTACTCAGAGGTCATGTGACAGAACTATTCACACATTAAACCTCAAAGCCAGACCAACCTCCAGTGCTGCCTGCTTAAAGAGAGGATGAGGAGCTTGCCAGAGGATGAAGAGCACGATGATCAGCTTGGTGGGTGGAGGACGTGTCTGTGCGTTTCTGGACCTTAGGTGGGGTGTCGAAGAGGTCAGTAGGTCAAGGGTTAAAAGCGGACTGTGGATCCCTGTGGTGTGTGCGTTTTCCGGCGAGTGTGAACAAGCGGGCACCGCATGTCAGCAACAGCCACCTTCTAAAACACAAAGAGAATAAACACACAGGAGCTCTATTAATGTTAATCCAACATGGTGAAAATCGCACAGATCACTTCCACTGCATTTACATACATGCACATACACAGAATGACTTAAGAAGTAGGCAGCGTAACCAACACTCACTTATGTCATGATTTCAGAAATATTGCTCTTCTTGTGGATTATGAGATCAGTGTTGTCAATCTGCAACAGAGAAAAACATTCCAGAATAAGTGTAAGAGAACAAATCATCCAACAGATCTTACTCAACAGTCCACAGTAACGGGTGCACATGAGCATGGCTGTGTGGGTCATTCTCACTAAACTGCCACAAACCATATCTAAAGATTTTTCAGTGTCAATCATTATGCACACAAATAACATTCAGAAAGTTTAGTAAAAAATGAAACTACTCCATTTTCCTATTTTAAAGTTTTTGGTATTTTTTGGCCTGATATGTTGATGTGTGTTTTTCGTTACCAAAATATGTTTTTTTTGTTTTGTTTTTGTTTGTTTTTTTATTAAGAGAAAAAAAAACTTTCAGTTACTGAATCTCTTATTTTAATGTTTAATGGAAATTGATCCAATAAATAATACACCAGGCTGTCAGTGCATTGTAGTAATGAGTGACAAAATACTGTATTTTGTTAAATAAATAAATAAATAAATAGCTGTAAAACACTCTGGCAACAGTATTCAGAGTATATCAAGGGGGGGGTATTATTTACATGTGTATCTTCAATTCTTACTGTGTTACAGTAATGAGAATTTGGTCAGATGTAGTTATTTAAATCAATATAAAATCAATTCACTCCTTCAGATTTACGTTCATTTTCTTCCCCAACCATTCATCTCTCTTTGTATATCCGAAAAAGAAAATTATGATGATTCAGTCGTTTTTTGTTTTTTTTTTTTCCCCCAGGTTGATTCCTGTACAGGCCTGGGCGATAGGGCGATGTAATCAGATATCCTCAATGACTGACAAGTACCCCGATGGTGATGTGTAAAAGGTGAGAATCGCCATTTGGGCTCGCGAATCAGTTTCAGAGTGCAGTCTGAAGTTCCTCTGTGGCAGAAGAAGCTCAGGAACACACGTGTCAGCATTAAAGTTTGTTATAATGACAGATAAAGTAGTTTTAAAAAGACGTTGGGCTACTCAATATCACATTTTTTAATATGTGAGTTCTAGTAAGGTGCAAGAGGCACAATATCATCAATTATTGTGACTTTTTTACTAGGAAATATCATGCTAATTATTTTTTTAGACATCGCCCAGGCCTATTCCTATATTTATCATATTTTGTGAAAGAAATCCAATTATACCAAACAAAGAACCCCTTGAGTCTGAGCCTCCAACCATGTGTGTCTAATTAAAGAAAGTACTCCTGTAAAGTAGCACATTTTCAAAGACTCATCCTCTGACCTAAGAGCCTGCGTGTGACCCTATGCTTAACTTTAAGAACATTGCTACAGGATCAAACACTTCTCGCACTGACCCAGGACAATCAGTAGCATAAAGGTCAACCATGTGACCAGTAACTAAAACCTGGCTTACGAGTCTAACAGTGTGAGTCAAGACACATTAATGTGGTGCTACACATTCAAATGAATACCTTTTTTTGACATCCAGTTTATTACAGCAGCAAAATCACAGCAGAAAAGTGTGGCTCTGTCCAACAGCCCTAATTTGCATTAGAGGTGTATTGTGCCTTGCTGGTGTGGTAGTTCCTTCTAAAAGGGTGCTTCGTATTTTACATTTTTTCTGGATCCAAGGCAATTTGCCCAGAGAGAGTGATACTTTTGGCAGAAAGTGAAAGCTGTTTTCTAGCCTGGGCGTGAATCTGTAGTGGGTGTGGACTCAACTATTTAATATGAAGTATGAAAACAAACTTAACTTTAATGGGAGGCCCAATAAAAAACACATTACATTTTGACTTATAAAAATGAAAGGGGAAAAAATGAGGTGATTAATCTGATACCATCACGATCAATAAAGTGTAACTATTCTTGTACAGTATCGTCTCTACAGTCTCTACTTTGTACCTTTCACAAGCAATGAGAACGTGAAAAAAAAATGGACTCGAATAAAGCTTAGTGTCAAGACACGTCGTGGACTTTGTACATATCTTAACTGTGCTTTTGTGACTGGCTTATATTTTAGTTTTAGGGGCTGAAAATGAAGGCTAGGTCAGCACCATACAGCTTTATATGAGGTGGTTAAGGTTTTTGTGTTGTTTTCTATCGTTTATGTACTGTTTTAGGATCACTATTTTACAAAAGAATGTGCTACACTGCAATATTTTGCTCCAAAACAATCTGTGCACTAAATAATTAATGAATAAATACAAAAAAATCTTTTAATAGCTGCCAAAAAATTAAATTAACCCAGTGTAATGTCATTAATTGGGTATATTTCTCTATACAAAATGAATAATGACTGCAAAGTGGGAACTGGAACTTTGTTACATAAGCTTTGGTCTTGCCCTGACCTGGACCGGTACTGGAAAACAGTTCTAGATGTTATTACAGAGGTCACCAATGTGGATATACTTTGGTCACCAAGACCTGCTTTGTTAGGTGTTGAGTCTGTGTTACAAATACAAAAAGGGACAAATCTTAGATTTAGTACTGCTGCTCTCCTGCAGAAATGGCATTACTATTATATGTAAATCAGCTGGAAATCATCTGAACACCTTTCCAAGTGGATTAAAAGAAGGGTCACCCTACATCCACCCTGAGAAAATAACATCTAATCTAAAGAAAAAGAAAAACTAAACTGCTTGAAAAATGCTCAGAAGGTTTTCACTCAGTACTCAGTCAAGTTGAGGAGATCTGAGTCATGTGCTGTTATTAATGACCTAAATATTGCTGACCGAACATTTTATCTTATGTACTTTACCTCTATCTACAGACCAAACCTACCTTCTGTCTTTGTTTTTGATCTTATTGTATAAGCACTATCTGGGAATGATTGTAAGTGTGGGTTAAATTAAGGTAAAACCTTAGTAAACATATTGATTAAAATAAGATTAAAGTTCTAATCTTGATCTTAGAATTGAAAAATTGTATTTACCCTGAAAACGTATTGTTAGAGCCCTAATCGAGCGCCAGTCCTAATATGCATTAATCGTTTAGACAGTAAATCTGTTCTATTTATTAATTATGCGATGGAAGACATTTTAATGATTACTCATTATCTAAGTAAAATTGTAAGGCATTACTTATCGGGCTCCCAGTGAAACACTGGACCAGAATGTGACAATACATAAATAATGCAAATGAGGGCTGTCAAGAAGAATCTTGTAGCTCTAATAAACTGGACGTCACAAATGTGCTCAATCAAATGTGCCGAACCAGTTGAACAGCGATGTGTGGTAACACAGGCTGAGTAGCTTTGCTGAGACACCTCATCAAGCTGCATTTGTTTGCACATCAACTATTCTAGCAGCAGGAGTCTCAAGGTAGAAAACGCTGAATGAGGTCAATAATGTCTCTCCAAACATCTGAGAAGCAATGAAAACCGCGTGGATTCCCACTAATGGTGTGATTTTAGAGAAGATGCAGCTGGAAGACATTTCCTAGCACAGCTGCAGGTGTGCTGAAGTGAAAAATCCATTCCAGTGAGCACTGAATGCAGGCGTAAAGGCGATGATGTACAGGAGTGGCTTTCATTCACACGGGTCACATTAACAGACCCTTCAAAGTACCTTCCTTAAAGCAGACAAGTGGATAAATAGACCTCTGCTACAACAAACTATAGTAATTTCGTTTTATGTGAAAATAGTCAAATGGCAATTTTGTGAAATAAAAGCTTGTCCTGAAGGTTTTTGTCCTGATTCGGAGGAAATGCAGTGACTCCTTTTCACACATGAACATCAAGGTTGTGCTCATTGTTGCGCATTGAAGTTTAAAAGGTTAAAAAGTACATATTAAGTCAAACGCTGAAAAAGTATCAGCCAACATTAACAAATGATGTTATTCGGCGGATATTAATTAAGTGCACATTTCAAAGAGCCAATGGAAATCCTTGAGCATCTGTAGGTGTCGGATAGGGCTTTGGGGGCTGCCTGATCATATGAACACGCGCTAAAACTACCACAAGAACCAACCGCTGCAGCAATACATGGTGAGATGAACTCGTGGGCTTCTACACAAGGTTTTTTTTTCTCCTTAGCTCTTTCAGTGATGCAGCGCAACGAACAGAGGCTGAAATATTTGTGCGCTCACGTCGGGTTATGTTGGATTCAGACGTCATTTCCCAAATATGTGTTGGGCTCAGGTCGGGTTCAAACTTCACGTTTGGGATCTCACAATCTGTCTCTCACTTTTTACAGCACCCCTGCTGCTTTAGTTTTACTCATTGCTTTATTCTTCCTTTCTATTTTCATTACCACATTTTTATGCCTGTCAACTTCATCCTAATAGAAATATGGAGGTGGGTGATGGAAACTTGCGGAATTTGAAAAACCTGTGAACTTGCAGAATGTAAAAACCTGTGAAGCCCATTAATGTGAAGACGCTGTAATTTAACACAACACTATTCTGCCAGGTTTTATTCAGCACTGTGGGTGATGAGCTAGATCAAGTCAGTTTCCGACAGAATTTTGATGGGCTTGGATTAGTTTTGTAATAAAAACTCGATGAAGAGGGGGGTCGGGTCAAGTCTCGACAAAACTTTGACGAGCTCAGGTCGGGTTTGCAGTCAAAACGTGATGTGGCTCGTATTGGATCGGGTCAGATTCAGACAAAGCTCTGAGGCTGTATTTGGCTGAATCTCTACTAAATAAATACAGTGTTTAAAGCTTTTAAATTATGAATAAGGACATGAACGGTCAACCAAACGCCTGCAACTGTATCTACGGCATCCTTTGAGCCCCTATACCCAATGTTGCACAGGACAGCTGGGAACTTTATTTATAATTAAAATTCATGGGCATAATAACCAGATATTCATTATAGCTGTTCAATATTTAGTCTGCCTACAGCAGACAGCACCAACACCCAATGCAAGACATTCTTTATTTTTACCCAAAAAGATGCTAATTACACTCAAAAATACTGTTTGTGCAAACAAATGTTTCTGCTCAAATCACTGCAGCAGTTTTCAGCACGTTTTAATGACACATTTATTCAGCGCTGATATTGCTGACGTCCTCCAGCTGCACTGAAAGAATCTCAGAGTACCAGTGCTGAGCGTGCACCCT